TGCTAGGTAACTGAGCTCCGGCACCTTGTGCTTCTGCAGGGGAGTGGACAGGCTGTTCCAGGAGAGCCTCCAGAGATGTGGTCATTTCAGATGTCACCTTGACATTCATTAACAGTTCTCTTTGTCCTCGTGGTATAGCCTGTTTCACCTGTAGTCAGTTTGTGGAACACATCACATCTGTGAACTGTCACATTTGAAATGTTCCAAAGACATCACTTAATCAATGATCATTTCTTTGCCACTGCTACTGTATCAGAATGCCACAGTTGGGCAATTCCTGCAAGAGGCATTTTTTTCTTGTGGTTCTGGAGGCTGGAGGTTCATGATCAAGGTGTTGACAGGCCTGCTTTCTCTCTCCCTCCCTTTCCTTCCCTTCCTGTCCACCCCCTAAATCTGACACATTCCCTCATATGACTTTTTCTCTATGCATGTGCACCCCAATGCACAAGTTCAGTTGTATTAGAATCACCTTCAGTTTTAACTTATCTCTTTAATAATTTGATGTCAAATACCTTCACAATCTTCAAGCTGTGGCTATTAACACTTCACTGTATTATTTGGTGACCATATGTATCTGATGCCAAATACAGTCACGTACTTCAGGCTATTAACACTTCACCATATGTATTTGGTGATGTAACAGCACCTTTCATCAGTTTCTGGTGGGCATGGGCAGGAGGAAGGAAGTAGATTTTGAAAACCATTCATGAGCCAGTTTTAGACTCATCATTTTGTCAAAAACATCCATTATTCTCCAATAGAAAACTATCTTAACATACCACAGAAAATATTTCAAGTGGGGCTGGAAGGCTTAGATTAAATTTTGCCTACAAATGGTGGCTCTTTTGTGCTCATTAGTTTACTCAGTCTGAACTCAAGGTGAGGGAAATCCCTAAGTAGCAATAACAATAACAATGAAGACCTTAGTGTGGGTGTGGGACCCCAGGCCACCTCATGAAGCTGGAGGCTTAGAAGTCAGATCCTGTGGGGAGGGGCTTGTCCAGCAGCGCTGCAGTAAGATGGCAAGAAGCTGAGTTTGTCAGCCCAGGCTCCAAATGGGAATACAAGTGTGAGACTTTGTAAGCATGGGGATGCTTTCAGTGGGAGTTAGGTTGAAATATACTTTAGATGCATATACTTTCCAGTCTATGACAGAGTACCTTCCAGAAGCAACTTGAAGGAGGAAAGATGAATTTCGGCTAACAGTCTCGGTCTCTGGAAACCAAGGAGTTGTGCCACAGTTCATGGTGACTGGAGGGTGTGGTGAAGGCTTCTCATTTCTTGGTAGATCAAGAAGTGGTGTGCAGGACTGGAATCAGAGTGAGTTATAACCTTCAGTGTCACCCCCACCTCCTTGAGCTGTTTTTCTCCATCAGCCTCGTGTCTCAAAGGTCCACTGTTGCTAAGCAGAGCCACCAACTGGAGGCCAGGGGTCCAAACATAGCCCAGTGGGACATGCCACATTCAAACCATGACACCTGTGGTCCTTCCCATGCTAAGAAATCCATCTGAAGGATGACAGAACCTGAATGAAACAGCTGTGGCCTCTCTGCAGAGATACCGTCTGCACCAGAACCCTGTAAGGTCCTAATAAACCCAGGGAAAACAGCACAGTATCCACAGCCTCCCAGCCCAGGAACAAGATCAGAAGACAGCCAGGCAGCAAGAACAGACATACAAAGGCCTCAGATGGCAAAAGAGCTGGGCTGGCAACTGTAAGCCAGGTGCACCTGAAACAAATACATGATTAGCAATGAGGAGAGAGTAAGTCCCCGACAAATACAGATTTGGTGACATGGAGACAACGCTAAGTAAGCTCTCTAAAGAGAAATAAAGTTACTAAAAATCAGTTGTTGAGATAAAAGGTAGATTTCTGAGGGCACTCCTAAACAGAATCTAATTTTCTTTCCAAAGTAACATGGCATCACCGCATTAAAGGGTTAGATACTGATGTTGATGTTTTAGTTTCAACCCCAGGCTGGCAGGCACACTAGGTAAGCACAGCCTCTAATCTACTGGTCCATTCTTCTGCCTTCTTTGGACAGCTCTTTTGCCTGCTGGCCATGAAAAGCCAGAGTCCTTGTCTTTTCCAACCTAAGGCTGCTCATGTTTCCCAGGGAAATCAGTAGTACAAACCTGAGAAAACCTTCACCTGTTCTTCTCTGTCAATCATCACTGTAAACTTGCCTGTTCCTTGTGACCCAGGAAGATCCATCTAGCCGACTACTGCACTTCATGAGATACAGGCTGTGTCGTGGTAGAGGAGTAGACAGCTATCCTCAGGAGGAAGAGAGGGGCTCTGTGGGTGCAACAGAAAATAACATGCTGGGGCACCTCTGTCCTTATTTAGATAGGTCTCTGTTTCAGGAGGTTCACCATCTCAGAGCTATGTGCTGGCAAATACTGGTGATGGGAAATAATTATATTCTAAAGGAAACAAGAAAACAGTTTAGCCTGGGCCAAGTTGGCATAACTGTGTCTAGGGAACACAGATTTAGATGACTGACTAAAGTTAGATGACATAACTCCTGACAAAGGTAACAAGCCATTGTAGCCACAGTCAGCAGATGGGTGCATTGCTGGGAGTGTCACGTAGGTGGTGTCCACGTGGGAAATCCTTCCTGTAGGTTTCAGACCTTACCTCATGCTTAGCTTTAGGTCTGGAGGAAGTTGCCAGTCTGCTGAGCTTAGGAGAGCGTTCTGAAAGTTATCAAAGTCTTGAGAACATTAGATCAGATACAGAGACTGAAAGTCAGTGGTTGTTAGTGACTGAACATAACCAAGATAATTTTAACTCTCAGCCTACAAGACTCCATCTGGGCAGCATCACAGAGCTCACTCAACCCAGGCGTCATTGGGCATTCTAAAGGGTCTTGAGACATTTCAGCTCTTTCAAGGAGCTTCAGCTCCACACCACAGTGTAAGGCTGCATGAGTGCAGGCAACACTTGCAAACCATGTTGTGGCACACTGCTACTAAAAAAAAAATGATACCCAGGATTATTGGGGGACCTGCTGTCAGATACATTTGGGGAGACTCCATGCTCCATTCCACCAAAAAGCTTCTTGATGTAGCACGGAGAAGGCTTATAGAATCTCTCTTAGACCCATTAGGGGCTGGGGAGATGGCCAAGTTAGTATCATGCTTGCTTCAAAAGCCTGGGAATCTGAGTTCAGGTTCCTGGCATTCACATAAAAGGTAATTGGTGTCTATAATCCCAGTGCTAGGGAGAGGACATAGATAAATTCTTAGAACCCACCTGTCTCAGAAAAACAGGTGGAGAAACGAAAGACCCATTGGTCCACCTCTGGCCTTCACACTTGCACACTTGGTTCTGTGTACCTGGCATTACCCACACTCATTTGTCCCATCCTTGAATCTCCATATCCAACCCCTCCTCTTTATAAAACAGAGTAGTCACATCAGCCCGTAAGTCAGTGGTCAGATAGCAAAGAGATCCCACTTCACACCGACTGTCATATAATTAAAAGTAACAAGTATGGGTGCATGTGTAGACGTTGGAGGTCTCATCCTGGTGAACGCCTGGTGGTTTCTCTAGGTTACACAGAGTTCCTGTGGGACCCAACTATCCCATTCCTATATACAGATCCAAGGAAATGAACACACAGACACAGAAAATTACTTGAGTGTTATCCAGAGCTGCAGTGCTCATAATGGCTCAAACTGCCAACAGCTTCAATACCCATCACCTGGCGAGTAGGTAAAGCAAAATGTGGTATAGCAGAGGAGAATATTTGGTATTAAGAAGGAATGGAGCCCTAATAAATGGGGTAACATGGGTGAATCTTGAAAATATGGAAAAGAGCCAGTGACCAAATTCTGTGTGTTTTATGATTTCTTCTCCACCCTAGATATCCAGAGTAGAAAGTCTGACTCATGGTCACCAAGTGCCAAGAAGGGATGGAGAGGGAAGACTGTTTTTGGGTATTGGTTTTCTGCATGGGGTGATGAAAAGCAGTCATAGCATTGATTGCACTGCTCTGAATATATTCAGGTGGTGTTAGACAGTCTAAACAGGTGAACTCTGCTTTGCATGAAGTGTTTCTGTAAAACTGAATTTAAAAAAATTAATATCCACCACCAGCAGCATTTGTAGATCAGTTTGGAAAGGATTGCTCTGAACGGCTTTGTGGCCCCTGGCTGGGCTCTGAGACTGGCCCAGTTGTCAGTCATTCTTGAAAAGAACCCATCTGGGGCTGGAGAGAGCACCAGCTGTTCTTCCAAAGATCCTGAGTTCAATTCCCAGCACCCACATGGTGGCTCAAAACCATCTATAAGATATAATGTCTTCTTCTGTTGTATAGGTATACATGCAGGCAGAATACTGTATAAATAAGAAAAGGAAGGAAGGAAGGAAGGAAGGAAGGAAGGAAGGAAGGAAGGAAGGAAGGAAGGAAGGAAGAAAGGAAGAAAGAACCCATCTGGAGCTGGGAAAACTGCCATTTCAGCCCAGCGCTGATTCTGAAAGCCTGAAGACTTGAGTTCAGATTGCTGGCACCCACCTAAAAGCTGGGCAAGCTTCATGTCTGTAATCAGTGCTGGGGAGGCAGAGATAGACAGATTCCCAGTACTTCCTGGGCAGCCATGGCTGTGTCACTGCCATCCAAACCACTGATGTTTGAAGAAATAAGATCACCAGTGTTAAGCGGCCCATGTTATGGCTATATGACATACAGACTCTGATCTAGTAGCCACGTTATTATGTGGCTTATGTTCTGCTCACACTGCTGTTCGTAGAAAGTACTTGAGAGGTGATCAGAAGGGAACGCTGGAGCCTTGGGGAGTTTCTAAGACGCAAGAGAGCACTGAAGGCTGCATCATGTTCAGTCTCCTCTACGTCACACCTCAGTCCCCTCATTAATGAATGTCGCTGTTCTTGGGGTCCATTCAACACTGTGACCTCCCATCAGCCGCACCCAATCCACAGGCAGGCAGATGCACCTTCACCCTGGTCACCCCTGCCTCTGTTTTTATTTCAGTGAAAGCTGGTGGGATGCGGATTGTGCAGAAACACCCACATACCGGAGATGGAAAGGAAGAGAAAGACAAGGATGAGCAGGAATGGGAAAGCACCAGGTGAGACTCTCGCAGACCGGGCAGATGACCACTTGGTTAACTATTAATGTCTGTTCCGTGTTTCCAGTAACTCCTGGGCTTCCAGCCCTGTGCTGTGTGTCTTCTTTTCCTATCAGAGGCAGGGTTCTGCGCTGGCGGGAGGGAGACAGTGCCTGAAGTTGTCCCTCAGCCTGCCTGCCCATGCACCCTGTCCTCTGGTTTGGTCACGGATGCTGAGCTTAGGAACTGAGCAGGAGCATAGCCTAACCCTGCCGCACTTCACCCTGGTGGGGCACAGCTTCCACCTCCCCTGGCAGGTCACAGTGCTGGAATGGAGGGACTAGATTCTTGTGCCTGATGGACCTTTGTGCTCAAGTCTCTGCCCAGTCCAGAGACGTGTGTACTGCCCATCTGTGCTCAAGAGCTCTCACTGGGGCTGCAGACTGAAGCCCCCTGGAAACTGGATGTGTCCTCCAGTGACATCTCTGCCACAGCCCTCCTGGACTCTGGTTACCCCTCTCTGTTTACTACCCGTTTTCCTTGAAGTTTCTCATCTCAAAGTTTGGTTCATTGTAAGTAGCCCTGGCAAAGCATGGTCACTATAGACACAACTGTGAATACGTCCATGTGGAAGAACAAAGAAATAAAGTTCTCTGCTCAGAACTTGGCTGCAGGCGGTGTCTCTGCCATAGCAAGAAGGAAAGGGGGGTGGCATATATGTCTCTGCCATAGCAAGAAGGTGAAAGGAGGCATGGAAGAGATGAGCCCTTCTTTCTGTGATCCGTCCTCTAGCTTTTGAGGGATGGACAGTTATCTCTGTGTGTAGAAGCAAAGACAAGCCAATCTGTTACATTTCTCTCTGACTCTCCTAAGAGATGAAGGACAACAGCTATAGGAGGTGAGAAGGTTAAGTAAAGAAGGCAGTGAGAGAAAGATTGGGTGTGCCTGCCTTAGGTGAGAGCATCTTCTTCACCTGAAAGTTTAGTCTTCTCCACCTGTGCAGAGCCTGGGATCTTGAAACAAGCAGTCTGCATAGGTGCAAAGAGCTTCTGTTGTGCTTCCCTGAAGTCAGATTGCCATGTTCCTTGTGGGTATTTCTGCTTTGGCTCAGCAATTCACCAGTGTGCGTTAAACCGTGTGACCTAATGGGAGCATATCTGGAGTTGGAGAAGTCTGTGGACACTAGGCTGTTGACTTGTGTTACCAATACAGCCATCAGGCCTTGTGCCCTGTGTGACAGTGTAAACTGCTACAGCCCAGGCTGGCCTCCAACCCTGTCTCTTACAGGTGTGTGCCACCATACCTAACTAACCATTGTTGACTTGTGGTGTGTAAGGAGCCTCTGAACATTCCATGCACCTCAATACACAGGATTCTCACTACTCCTTGTTGTTTTCCCTGCTTCAGAGATGGCTGATATCCCCATTCCAGAAGATCCCTCCTTAACTCTCCAGAGAGTAGACTTAGCTTCCATGGGCACTTGGCAAATAAGTGGCAGAGTGCAGGCAGCTGGCCCCTTGTTCTTCAAAGTCAGCCTCCAGGCTGGGCTGACCAGCTGAACTCTTGTTTTGGGCTGGACACTTGCTGACTAATTCACAGCAGGGTAGACACTGCCTAAAACTTAGCGTCACTGTGCCCACTGTATGGATGAGGAAAGCAAGGCTTAGGGAGGTCGGCTGGCCCAATGATGCTCATCTAGGCAGTATCATAGCCAGAATTCAGCCTGAGAAGCCAGGAGCCCCCCCTCAACACAGATGGCAGTGTGGATCCTTCTTCATCTAAGATGAATTAGCTCTGAAAGTCTGTTTCCATCCTCCCTTACTTCTGCACCCTCTCCATAAAGAGATGGTGAGTTATCCGTTTCAAGGCTCCAGGGGACTGGGCTGGCTTTACTTCATGTATGGAAAGGCCTGTTTATTTTCAGAATGTATAAAATATGTAGTCACCCTCCGAAGAATGACATTTGGCATGCAGTTTGAGCATACACATTCCCATATTCCTAACCTTTTACTTTTTTTCCATGTTTTGGTGAAAATGTTCTCTGAATATGAAAATAAGTGTGCTGTCCATATCACATGCCAGTTTTCTCCTCAGATCCCCACTTGCAAACTCCTTTTTAAAGACATCCTAGATATTTAAGACTGTTTACTGACTCACTTCTTGTGGCTTCCTTCTTCCTCTTAAAGATAGTGATTACAGAGAAAATGAACGCTCAGAGCCCCAAGGATGTCATAATGTGACCCCAAACCAAAAAAAATCCCAAAACCTTCCCTGGCAATTATTTCCTTGAATAAATTTATGCATCCTTTACTCCCTTAATCTCTAATTTTCTGGATATTTAAAAATAATGTTTTATGCCACCAGGCTGTTTTGAGATGTTACCTTTAAAGGAACAGAAAAAAATATATGAAAATTGGGGCTAGAGAAATGCCTTAGTGGTTAAGAGCACTGGTTGCTCTTATAGGGGAACCTGGTTCTCTTCCCAGCATCCACATGGAGGCTCACAACCAGCTATGACTCCATCAGGGGACCCGATGGCTTTTCTGGCCTCTACAGGCAACAGGCATACGTGGTACATATATATACATGTACCAAGGAAATGCTCATACACATAAATAATAAAATGTGAAAATAGAGAACCCTTTAACTGTGCTAAGACTACTTTCTCTTAGTACTTTTGCAATTCTTTTTGTACTCTCAGTACCCCCACCTCTGTGTGTGTGTGTCTGTCTGTGTATGTGCTCCTACTATTCTCTCTGTACTCACACCCCCCCCTCTCCTTGTGCTCTACCTGTTCTCTCTGTACTCTTGGTATAGCATGCTAAGAACAGCCTAATCACACCTCTCCAGATGACCAGGCCTTGGTTTGTAGCACTTGCTGGTTTTGTAAGGAAAATGCTCCCACACGTCCTGTTTTAAGTATAAACATGATATCACTGAGCACAGACCCATGAAGAGGGACCTCCAGCACATCAGCGGGGCAGCGTCCTCGTGCATAGTTATGTTTGTTGTTTTCAGTGCGTAGTCTTGAAAGAGGTTTAAAGATACGGAATGCCTCATGATCCACTGTAGGTGTCCACATGTTCATTCTGTCTGGCATCCTCCATAGTGAAGGTGTGGTAGTCTGGAAAAGCACACTGGTCAAGTGTGCTTCTCACGCACTCACGTGTTGATATTCAGCCTCCACTGTGCTGCACTGAGGTGGTGGAGAGGTGCTCAGACTAGCATGGCCTCAAGAGGTGACCATGTTTAGGTAGGTCATAGCCTGGACCCCATGACAGAATTCCAGGGCCATTAGCAGACAAGAAGGGGCACAGAAGAATGGCACATGTGTGATACCCTCAACCTGCCCTGCACCTCCTTGGAACTGTCACTGGGTGCAGCCCCTGACCTTGGACTAGACTACAAGCTGAGGCTTTCTTTAAAATTAGATTACTACATTGTAGTGATAGAAAATGGACCACGACAGAAGGTCTCTTGGCTGAATTCTTTCATCTCTTATCTGCCTGAAAATATATTTGCTGTGCTTTAACTTTGGAAGACAGTGTGTTCCTTAGCCTCCTTGTCACTGTGACAGAGCACGTGACATAAACAACTTCAAAGGAGGAGAGGTTTACCCTGTGCTTCACCAGTCTGTGTCCACTCTGCTCAGGCAGCACACTTTGCTGGAGGAGTCTGTGCCGACGGAGGCGGGGAGTGGAGCGGGGCTGTGGACCATGGCCGTGGTATTATCCCTTGGTGGTTTTGTAGGCTTTCCTTCTCTGTCCCCTGGCTGTCAGGATACATACAGGTCACTCTGTTCTGCCATGCCCTCCAGTCCATAATGGACTGAGTCTTCAAAACTGCGCCAAAATCAATCTTTCTTCACTTTGTTTGTTTGTTCCTGGCAAATGTTTGGCCACAGCAATGATAAAACCAATGCAGAGAACTGGAACTAGCAGTGAGGTCATTGTTGTGACAGTGGCCTGGCCATGTGAACCAACAAGAGTATGGAGGTGCAGAGCAGAGACGTAGCTGTGGGAGAAATGTGGCCCTGGAGCTTTCCATTGGAACAGGGGCTCTCCTGAGCCCCCCCTCCCCCCAGGGAAGACTGTTCTCTTGAGGTCTTGTGGAAGTTATCACAGCTGCTCTGCTTCAAGGTGGCACTGGCCATGTTCAGCCTGGAAGACAGTTTCTCGATGGCCAGCAGTGTCTGAGAGTCTGCGGCCTGTAGAGGCGTGCCTGCAGTGCCTGCCTTTGCCTCTCACCCTCCACCTCCTTCCATCATTCATCTCCTTGTCCACATTTCCTCTTTTTACTACATTAAAGGCTCACCTTGTTGACCTCCCTTTTAACTACCTCTTTGAAGACCTCATTTCCAAATACTGTCATAGTTTGAAAACTTGAAGGTTTAAGATTTCACCATACCCCCTTTAGAATGAGCCCATAACAAATGCCAAATTGCAATCCATTGCCATCTTAATGGTTCTCTCTCAGTAAGTCGTCTGTTGGGATAAGAAATCAGGAACTCAGAACTGTGGAGTCAAAGGATGGCATGGCTGGGTGCCACTTAGGTCACAAGGCCTCCCTGCATGACACTTTGAGCTGTGATGTGAGTGTTCAAACCTTAATGGCTCTGGTTGGTGAACTAATGTGAAAATCATTCATAAGTTGGGTGTTGTCTTCTGTCCAGGCCAGTCACCAGCTGCGTTTGGAAAGTGTGTCCTTTTCCCCTGACATGCATGCAGATACAAGAAGGCCAAGATGGCCTGGTGCCAGCAGACCAAGCTCAGTGTTGTCTTGGGCCCCAGTGACATAGCAGCTGACCCAGGTGTTGCTATGCAGTGGGCCCTGGAACCTTGTGCTGCACCAAAGTGCCTGTGTGACATGAGAGGTCTTTATGGAGGGCTGACTGCGCCCCCCCCCCCCCACTTTGTAGACTGAGGTGACACAGCAGAGCCTCAGGTGCTAAGATGTTTCTAAAATGGAAGTGAGCAGTGAGTTCTGCACAGGTAAGGAAAGTGGGAGATTGGTAGCCCCCA